AGGCATCATCAGCCTATTGTTCTAGACCGACATCCACTTCATCAGGGTTGCCTTGGGTTACAAGATCAAAGAAATAATTAAGCAATCACAAATTATGAAAATATAAAGTGAAGGAAAGACGTTACAATGTAGGTTACCTATCAATGGAAGTTGGTTTTTCTAATTGATGACCTCCTTTCAACTTTCAAACTCTTCTTTCTTGGGAAGAGATTTAAAGAAAACTTGCCCGAATATCCTCTCATGGGCTTCTCTGAGATCTCCATCATACTTCCTAGACCACTTAACCTCTCACCAAGTGGTGAACAGAGATGTGCACTTAAAGTTAAAGGTCGCGAGCTTGTGAGTTATCTTGCTCATTACCTCAAAGCTGTGTCTGCTTGTCCGAAATGTAGTATCTGAAGGAGAATGAAGGCGATAAAAGGTTTCACATTAGATTGAATCGAAGAAAGAAGCTAAGATTGCCTGTCTAAACCCCAGTTGCCTACCACCGAAGTTGGGGTGGTATACCTCCAGCCCACGCAATCATTCCTTACTCCCCATGCTAAATCCATCTGCTGGATGCAACTAATGAATTTCTCCTTGCATAGGCTATTGGCATCCTCCCCAAAAGAATCATGAAAAATGTTGTCTGAAAACCAAGGGTACCTCATGAGCAGTGAGGCACCCCATTCTAGATCAGCTCCCTTTGGAAACTCTAAGTTGGCAGCCCAGAACTGTGGGAAGTACCATTGAAGCCAGAGTTGCACCATCCAAATAGCTCTATTGACGTTGGTCTCAAAGGGCTGGTCCCTTGTCATCTCATAAAGCAGGTGATAGAGATATGCCAGAATAAAGGAGCCAGTGGAGACATGGTCGAATGAATGCTACGCCTCCACCAAAGGGATCTATTCTAACTTTACTCCTTGGATTTATTGGGGAACACATGTTTATTCAACCAATAGAGAAGAAAGTACATTTGTTCCTAAGCTGGGTTAGCAGTGGGGGAAGGCGGGCTAAAGATCTTCTTGGTAAAAGGGATGAAGCCCGTGAAAGAAGTTTCATAGCCTCTGAGCCTTAAGCAACAAGATGAGAGAGGGATGACCATTTGTGTGTATTGTCTACACACTTACCCGATGGCTTTAAATCAAAGACCTAAGCTATATCTAGGATAGTGGGATACATAAGACTCACTCTGAAATTGAAAGTATTAGTCCATATGTTCCAAAAAATGAAAGCTGTTAAGAAAAACTCATGCTTGATGGGGATAGTGGTCTTCGACGTCATGATAAGCTCATAGATGCCATTTGCCATCCATTTCTGCTTCCAGATGGGCTTTAATTCATCCACCCACTTGGACCAGGCTTCATCCTTCATTAAGGGGAAACCCCTTTTAAAGTTAAACCACTTTGAAGCAAAGATTCCTGCCTCAACAGTGCAAGAATTGGGAGTGAACCAGTTGGCAACGGGCATGTTGCTTTCCATAGTAACAAGAACTCTGGAAAGCCTAGGCAAGCCCCAGTGAATGCACCCCCTCTTGCTTGAAGAAAATGGATAGATTAAGGCCAGCCCGAGGGTGATGAAGGTCATTGAGCCGACGGCGCATAGTGACAATCCTTTCTCCAGACTCGCATGCATGGCGCGATTTAGGAGCCATTGTTAAATTCAATAGAAAGAGTGAAAAGTGGCTAGAAATAGAGGCAAGAAAGGGTTGAGAATTCAACAGATTTGGCAGTTTAGATAGTTAAGTTTATTGAAGGAGGTGGCCGAAAAGAGTGAAGTGGAAGTTATTTAACGAGTAGGTAGTTTACTATGGAAATCGTGGGTTAATGCAAAGGTTTATTTGAAACGGCTAATCAAGAGGCACTAATACCCAGTTTCGGCATGCAATTGATTTTAATCATTATCAATGTCTTGATTAGCAGACTTAACAATGATTAAAGGGGATACTGTTTGAGTGGGTATTTAATGTTGGGCTTACTGTGATTGGAGGCCCAAGACGCAAAAAGTAGAAGGAAGATTGGGCTCGGACAAGGCAACAGCCCAGGCAGAATTTAAAATCATTTTTTTGCCAAGGAATAGGCAACAAGTCTATGTTAGAAGTGACACTCAGATGACAGCTTACCCCCAACAAAAAGTACTTTTCAAGGGCATGGATAGGTAAATAAATGGTGGTTCACCATACTCTGAGGCCATCACCAAAAGGGGAAGCTTGGAAGCAAAAGCCACAAGGAAGAAGGACACTCAAACCAGTCAATCAAAAGACATCCAACTTTGCACTCCAGCAAGCAAGAAACTAGAAAGCTTTAGTTTGTCTAAACTTTACCCTTTTAGTCGTAGAATCACCATAGAAAGCCATCTTTTGTCAAGTTTTAGAAGCTCTGCTACCTTTCCCTTGTATTGTAGTATCAAATCCCTTTAGTAAACCCGATTTATATTTCATTCTCCAAAGATTACAACCCTTGTAAAACACAAAGAGAAGTGGTTGGAAGAAGACAAACCTTGCCTAACAAGGTCATAATCTTGCCCGAGGCTTTTTTATTTGTACTTACATAAAGTAGATATATTGTTTTATGCATCTTTCATTGGATCCTATATCATTTTCGACTGCTTTTCATTCAAAGTTCCATCTATGATTAATCTTACTAAACTAATTAACCTTACTGCTTTAATTGTTAACCTTAACCAAAGAAATAGTTTGAAGGGCCCTGAACTCCCTTTAGTCGGACATATGATATTATGAGTAAAAGTCCTTGTTTACAAGGCAAGAAAAAGAACTGTATACAGACTTAACCCATTTGTAAACAATCCAATCAAACTAAGAAGTCTAAATAACTTGCGATGCAAGTAATCAACCCATTTAACAACTAAAAAAGAACAATATGTTATACAGAGATAGTTGTGGCACGCTTAGACCTATATTAGTTTTGATTGTGAGCCTCAAGACCTAACAAAGGCCCCACAAAGGCACCATTCAAACTAATAACAAACTCATATTGCAGTACACCAAGCAACAAACCTTGCCCAACAGGCACGACTCAGAGGAGTTGTGTGGGGGACAAATCTAGCTCGAACATTATCTATAACCAAATTTTAATAAGGATTATAATATGTGCATTGGTATGTAGTACTATGTACGTAACTCACAAGATAAAACTTAACCTAACGTCATAGTGTTACTAACAAATTAATCCACATGCATACAAGTTCTCAATCTTATGGTTTAATTAATTGATTGTTTCTCATTTTTAAAAGAATGCTACTCAATACACTCGCTTATCCTAATTTTCCGTTTATTTTATATTGAATTCTCTTAGTACTAGTGGAAAATAAACACTTTTTTTTGGGTAGAAAAAATAAAACAGTTTAGTAGGCATAACTACACGCTTTTAGGAAAAAAAGTAGTTGTCCCAGTTGTATTATAGTTTGTATTGTTGACTCTGGCAACCAGAGAGTTGAATTCATCGTTAGAGTTTTTTGTCTTAATTTTTTTCTTATCTCGAGAAATGCTTGATTCAAAGTTTTTTTTTTGTGGGGGGGGGGGGGGGGAGGGGGGTGTGGATATGCTGATCGACAAGGCATAAGCTAGAAATTTAAGGTATGTTTGTTGTACCGGACTATTTCGGACTAGAATAACTTTAGGGATTAAGTTGGACTGGCTTAGCTTAGACTAAGCAGAATAAAAATAATGAAGTGTTTGGTGCAGTGCTGGAGTAAACTACGGATTAAATTATTTTTAAAAGGGTTTTTATCACAAATGGTCCCTGAGATTGATCAAACTCATCATTTTGGTCCCTCACTTCCAAAATCAATCAATATCGTCCCTGACATTCACTACCGCAAATCAATTTGGTCATTCCATTAGATTTCGTCAACTATTCTGTTAGTTTGCATGTGGGACCCACAAATCCAATGTAATGATTACACAAAATAACGGTTTTTATTGCAAATGATCCTTGACATTAATCCAACTCCTCATTTTGGTCCCTGAGTTTCAAAAATCGATAAATTTGGTCTCTAACTTTCAATATCGCACATCAATTTAATCATTCTGTTAAAGTTTTGTAATATTTTTTTTGTCCCACTAATCCAATCATACGACGCCACGTGGATTAACTACAAGAAATTTTTTTTTTTTTTTTGAAGATTTAAAACTAAAAGTAAAATAAGAAACTAAAAACCAAAACTAAAAGGAAAAAAAGTCATCGTCTTCTTCATCAGGGTATGCGAAAAAAAAGTTTCTTATAGTTAATCCACGTGAAGCCATATTGTGACATCCCACATCGCCCAGGGGACTGATCCTTAAATGTATATTCCCATCCTACCTAGCACGAGGCCTTTTGGGAGCTCACTGGCTTCGGGTTCCGTAGGAACTCCGAAGTTAAGCGAGAAGAGGGCTAGAGCACTCCCAGGATGGGTGACCCTCTGGGAAGTTGCTCGTGAGTTCCCAAAAACAAAACCGTGAGGGAATGGTAAGCCCAAAGCGGACAATATCGTGCTACGGTAGTGGAAGCGGGCCCGGGAAGTGATCTGTCCCGGGCCGGGATATGACACATATGATTCGATTAGTGGGACCAAATTAGCACACAAACGAAAAATATTAATGAAATTTTAAATGGAATGACTAAATTGATGTGCAGTAGTAAAAGTTAGGGACCAAATTTATCTATTTTTTAAACTCAGGGACTAAAATAAGGAGTTGGATCAATATCAAGGACTATTGCGACAAAAACCCATATTTTGTGTAATCCACGTTTCATCATTTTATTGGATTTGTAGGTCTCACATGCAAACTAACATAATACTTGATGGAAGTTTAATGGAATGACCAAATTGATGCGGGGTAATGAATGTTGGAGACAACATTGATTGACTTTGAAAGTGAGGGACCAAAATAATGAGTTTAATCAATCTCATGGACCATTGTAATAAAAACTCTTTTTAAAATTTAGATATTTTTCTTTTGTTCTTTTTAATTCTCTCTCCCATATCTCCACCGTTCCTTTATCTTCGGCACTAAACAAAACTTCTCAATTTTTCTCCAGTTCTTAAATGAAGAAAATCGCAGCCGACGAAGAAAATCAAGGGGATGAATAGTGCAAAGAAAGTAAAGAATCACAAGAAGGAATCAAGATCCAGAGGCTCGATTCCTATGGGTGTCGGTATTGGACAGTGACGAGGCTAGGTATTCGACAAAGGCACGATTTGTTCCCAAACTGGATGATCCTCCGCTGCTTGACTCTCTCTGATCTGCCTTTCTGATTTTGGTCAAATCCAACCAATCAAGTTCATGAAAATAGAAAATTAATAATTAAAAAAATAAAAGAGTGAAAACCTAAAAAATCTGAGATTGGAAAAAGGAGCATAAGATGGATCCAGTCCGTGTATGACAAGACGAGGACAAGGTAGGCTGCACTTATCTATCTACTCTCTTCCGTTTGATTTTTCATTTGGCTCTAATTACACTTGTTCTTGCAAATTAGTTGCTTTAATTCACTTGTTCTTCCATGGGTGGGGATTGGAGTTGCAGACCCCACGGTTGGGTGGGGCTGGGAATGGGCATGGGCGGAGATTGGAGTTGCAGACGGCAAGGGGTAGGTAGAGGAAGACGAGTCGTCGTCGTCATTGAAGATGACGCAGTCATGCAAGACGAGCATGAGGACGCGGCGTGAGAGGGAAGACATTCTTAGCTAGTCCTAACTCCCAAGGTATTTGGGGAGCCTCGCTAGGACCGGCTAAGCAAGGTTTTAGTCAGAGCGAGTGAACTTTAGTCTCACTCTCACTAAAGTTAGTCCAATGCTAACCTGTAATCCAGTCTAGCCCAATTAAACTTAGTCCAGCCTAGCCCAATAAAACTTAGTGAGGGCAAACAAACGGGCACTTTGGGTTATAAACCTTTTGTAACAACCTCATTTAAAAAATGGAGTCTCAACGAAACACTCATGGTACTATTTACTTTTAATGAAAAATCATATTTTTACATTTTCTTAATACTATTCACTACACATTCATTTATCATTTTTCATTAAAATTAAAGTTTTTTTGAACTTTTCGTTAGTTTCCTTTAAAAAAAAAAAAATGGTTGATGAAGTAAAAAGGTAAGCATGGTCTTTTTATCCCTTCCTTTTTGACGCATGCAATATGCGGTGCATTATCCTTTTACATACTCATGCTAATCACACATCTCGATATGGCTTCGATTTCCGTGAGAAGCTAATTTAATTAGTCCTCTGAAAGATTTGCTAGCTTAACATCAAATGTTTCTTTTTCTTTATTCAAACAAAAGGAATGAGATGTAAATTATCAAATATTTTTTCATGTCAAGTTAGATTTTTGCCTCCCTATAGGCCGTCCGCTAAAAGGAATGTTAGTGTTGTGTCGTGCCTTATTCAGTTTATTAATATTTCTCTACATTTACAAGTTAAAAAATTTCAATTTGACTTCTATGGACAAGCCAATTCAATCCTAATTAGTGTTATTTTGTGGCTTAACCTGTATACTCTCACCCTTAATATAAAGGTTTTTTTAGCTAAAATTGTTCATAAGATTAGCATAACTCCTCATTTTAGTCTCTAACATTGAAAATTGATAGAAATGATTCATAAGTTTGTTCACGATCAACAATACGTGAGATAGTGGAGTCTAATTAATTTCAATTCCACCTTGGAGTAAAACTCAAATTTCAGGTTCTAAAATTACCCCAACTTGCTCTAACCCTTGGGGCAAATATGATTTAAAACTCAAAACTCATTTCTAGACCAAATTTAGCCCAGAGTTCCCCTTAGGTTAGTGAGGCTAGTCCACCATATATGTATATTTTTTTTAATTTTATATTTATAAATTCATTAAATCCAGTGGTTAAGATCTAATTTAATGAAATCCAACGGTAAAAAAAAATATCTAACGGCCCAAATTTAAATCCAACGGCTAAAGTAATTAAAAAAAATTCTTTTATTGTTTCATATTCTTTCATAGTGTTTCATGAGTTTCATGGTGTCGGTTAGTGATTTTTCAATATTTGTCGAAATATAAATATTTTTAGGTTAAAATGTTTATAAATTAAATTAAGATAGTCTACATAATTTTTTCTTTTAACAAAGTTACTTTAAGAAGAAAAAAAAAGTCTAAATTCATTATTTAATGATCTGAGGCTAAAATTTTAACCCAGAAGGGTTGAAGCAAAAAAGCTGTTTCTGGGTTAAAACCTAAATTTTCTAGGTTAAAAATTTTAAGTTTTAACTCAAGGCTTGGAGATAGTCGAAATGAGACTATCCATTTCAGCTGAATATGCCATGTCTTGGCCCTCCCAAACTAGGCCGGTTGTAGACAATTTTAGGACTTTTTACTCATTTTGTTTTTAGTTTTTCATTTTTATACTATAAGTAGAGTACAAGAATAATGAAGAAATGATGAGAGAGCAAGGACAAACGCAAAATTCATTGATATATAAGGATTTCATGGTTCCTACAGTACTATATATTTGACAAAGGCAAACGTGAAGAAGCTGAGACGGAAAAAACCTACGACAGCAAAGCCCAGGCCAAACTCTATACAGAAGGAAGAAAAAAAGGGGATGTCACCTGTCCGTTAATACATCATCTAGTTACGACTCAAAAGCTGCACCACGCCATCTTCATTTAAGTTTGTTCCACCGAGCAAAGCTTGGCACAGACCTGATCGGCATAACAACACAAATGGTTCCCGCAGCCTCAGTGATACTGTGGTAACTCTTGCCTTCTTTACAAGCTTCTGTTTGTATGATTGTAACAAGAACTAAAACTATCCATTTTTCGAACATCAAAGCCAACCTTGCAGGGAAAGGGAGTACTGGTATATTGTCCAAATTAATCACTTAATCAGACGAGCTCGGCCAGGATTGAGATGTGCTTCTGACATCATCCATCCCTACAGGAAAATAGATTATTACTACGTTTAAAACAAAAAAAAATGTGCACTACTAATCTTTTCAAACAACTATCTGGATGAAAAATTAAATAAAAACTGAATGGGGGTATATTATCGTAACAAAGTACAAAACTTTGGTAGTTTCCAAACACAAAAATCCAATATCCTTATCCATTGCAACACCAAAAACAATAATGCTTCCATAGAGTATTTAATTGTCTTGGTAGAACACAGTTGTTTCAGTAAGTCTATATTGAGCCGAGAAACCACTTAAAATAGAAACTATGAATTTACACCTAAGTCATTCAGTCCATTTGGAGACAACTCCAAGTTGGGATATATAGTTATGCAGACAGAAACATTTGAACCATATCCATTGCATCATTGAATAGATCTCAGGATGTTAAAGTTGACAGTGCTCGTGTCAAACAATTTGCAATCTATATTGTTAAGCTAACAATTTTATAGCATAAATTTGAAACGGAATCAACCTTATCAATCAGTGATTTAACATGTTATATTGTTTGGCAAGAGATCATTTCCCTTTTATATATTTTTTTGACAAATGTGGAATCTATGCGCTTACTGTAAGACACCTAACTGGCCACTGAATGTCACAAAATGATGAAATTAAAAATGTTAAAACATCAATTACCTGCAATTTAGCTTTACTCTTGAAAATCCCATACTTAGTTGAGACCATCTTACATGACTCAACAATGCACGCCTCCAGATCTTTAGCTGTGGGCTCAAATTTTAAAAATCCATCTTTCTTCTCCTTCTGATACATATGCTGACTGTCGTATGATGATTGCATGAAATATAGAAGTACCTGAGCCTGTAACACAGAGTGATATAACATCTTATATCCCCTATACAAAGGAAAAGAAAAACCTCTGCAAGACACCAAAGACCATAGAAATAAGCGGTATATCTCACATGAAATGCCGCCTTTAGTATGTCATCTGACTTCGCTTGATCTTTGAACAATGCGTACACTTTACCTTTTGAAGGATTATATGTCACAACATATCTCTCTTTCTGTCATCAATCAAGAAATGAAATATTAAAGAACATATGTTAGGAGTATAGGTCAAGCTTAACCCCTCTTCAAAAGCGCTTACCTCAAAGAAGGGCTCTATCGCAAGATATACACTTGGCTCTTGGAATGCATCTTTAAATCGTGGTCCTGGCACTCAGTAGAAAAAATAAAAATGAATTAAAAAAAAAAAAGAGAAAATCTCAAGTCGAACAAAGAAACCAGAAAATCATGATTCATAAACAAAAGAACAAGATCTTCGCAAACATACCGAGAACAACAGGCCCATCTTTCACCCAGGGAAAATTGAAAACATTTTCCTTTAAGTTCCCTTCCTGCAACGACGGCACTCGCCCTAGAAATGGGGGGGAAAAGAAAGCACAATTACAATATATATCGGGAAAATACACTCAGGAAAACTATTATGCATGATGCCATGAGGGGAATTCTTCGGTAGAACATCGATGCTAACCTGTTTTAAGAAAGGCATCTACTGCCACACTGAATCTTGCTCGGTTCAAGGTGTGCAGTACTACAGATTTAACCTGGAAACAAATTACTTCTATTAAACAAATGATATATGGAAGCATGTAAGACTAAATCAATTTCACTACTGTACACAAACCTCTTGGTAGGAGCTGACAACGTATCCACATGAAAGGAGCGCAAATGTAGTTATCAGTGATGGATTTCTTTTTGAGATTAATATACTCAGGCCAGTTCCCAGCTTCACAAGGCATATGTTCACAATCATCAATAAAAAATGATTAAATTTCATGCATGAAAGTGGACATTGGAACATAGAGACTAATTAAAAAATAAAAATCTGTAGACTGTTATTCTTTTACATGAAACAGGAGTTTATAGGCAAAGAAAACTAGAGCCGTTAAAGAAGTAAAAAGAAGCACAAAAAACAATGATAAGTCATCCACTTGGGAAAAACCAACTAAAAACCACAAGACAACTAAAGGGATATAACACAAGGGTCAAGACAAATTAAGATGAATCACACTTAGAATGAATTCAAGGCAATATTAATAATACGAGACAACAAGTTAAAAAATTCTGTCAATCCCTACCATTTAGATTCCTCCTACAGGTTAGATCCTAAGACACCTAGAAGGTGAGAATAAAACCATACTTATCCCTAAGATGGAACACCACAAATAACGTTGTTTCTGTGAAACATAGATATTGCAAACAACATTGTATCCCACAAATCCTATGTGCCTGATATATTGGAATGTTTACATACAAGGAGACAAATTGCAAACCTATTTTTTTACTAATTTCAGTATGGCTAGGATACATAACACCATAGGGCATGTTTTCTGGCATATTTTCTGTGAAAAGTTATACAAGCAAAGTTATCTATCATGCCTCAATTTAGGTCAAAATAAGATAAGACCTAAGAGTCTGACTCAGGCTCTGACTTGTTAGTCTCATTTATTATCTAAAGGATTTATTTAGAACTTACTTCAAAGAAGGATATGGTTCTATTTCTTTGATATCCTACATAATAATAAAATAGAGTATTACTGTAGAAACAACATTTTATTGATAGATATTGGTGATAAGAGTTGATAATATGCTCCAGTCATTTAAGCAAAAAAAATAATAGGCACATATTGTCGTAGCACTGGTGACACATAGTAATAGTGTTCAAATAAACTTAGCAAAAATTATTTCACTGTTTTACTGTACACATTGGATCCTGTGTGCATAGGTCTAACTAGCAAACTCAAAAACCTTTACACGAAACAAAGAAAATGCGCACACACCAAGTTTTACACAATATTACAATACATTTCAACAATTGATTTTTATCTTGGTCGACCTTAGATCAATAGGGATGATCATGCACACAAAAAGACACACCAAAGCTAAAGTCTCAAAAGCCAACAAGTTAATGGAACATGGGGGCATAACTGGGCAAAAATACCAATGACTGTAGGTGTACTGGACATAAGTGGACTAAAACAATTTCATTTCATAACAGCATAATTGCAATGGTAAAAACAAAGGATTTCTAGAAATGTGTTCTATATACCTATGTATAATATTAAGGCTTTTTAGCCAAAATGGTCCCTGAGATTTGCATAACTCATCACTTTGGTCCCTGAGATTTGAAATCAATAGAAGTGGTCCCTGAGTTTGTCCACCATCAACCATTTTGGTCCTTCCATGAAAAATTATATTAAATAAAGACCAAAATGACCAAAATACCGTCAATGTAAAACAATGAGGCAAATGATTTGTCAAAAATTGAGGGTGTTTTTGTCATTTGAGCCCTATTTAGTGGAGATTTTTCATGGAAGGACCAAAATGATTGATGATGGACAAACTCAGGGACCACTTCTATTGATTTCAAATCTTTGAGACCAAAGTGAGGAGTTATGCAAATCTTAGGGACCATTTTGGCTAAAAATCCTAATATTAATGCAAGTGTAAAATGTATGAACAATTCTAGGAAAGTGAACACCACGTATCAAGCTGTTTCATTTTGGATGGTTAATATCTACATGTGTACTGCGTCAACTACTAGACCAATGTGCTCATATGGTTCACTGGTACAATGTCCAGATTCCTGTAACACGTAATTATCCTACAAAAAGAAGTAGGGCAAGCATACCAGATCCGCAATATTGCCAACACATTCTCCTTTAGCTGTCACATCTCCAATGTTTTCTCCTTTTGCAAACGCTTTGTAAATTGGTGTTCGAGTTGATGTTGATGTTACAGCAGCAACATTCTACAAAAAACAAAAGAGGAAGAGAGGTTGTAAAACTGAGATGGAATACATTAAGTTATATGAAAATGTCAAACCTTTGCCACATTCGCTGCACAAGCCAAAGGAAGAAACAGGTGTGGGACAGCTGCAGTTGCCAACTCTACTCCTGCACCCAACTCCATGAGAAGATCACCAGCAAACCGCAACTAAAACACCACAGCATTAAGAAAAGGTGAGTGAGGTATTGTGAGTTATGTAGTTGGAAAATATTGTGCAGTACTATGAAGTTGGCAAATATTTCTTACCTGTTTTAGATCATAATCAAATTTCTTTCCTTGTCGGGCAAAAAGCATTTTTCCAACACGCCCAGCACCATCCTAGACAGAAATTTATTAAGTAGATTAAATTCGTTCTGTTATACCATATGGACATTAGAAGAAAAAGCTGTAGTACAAGGCACTAATGTAAACTCCGATATATACACTTCCAAGTTTTGGACCTTTTGTATCATTAACTAAACTCAAAAGTACAGTTCAAAGTCAACACGCCTCAAAAAGTTAAAATCACAAGTACAAATTTGTATGCTTGACTCTACAAAAACATATTTCAACATTACTTCACAACCCAAAAGAAACACTGGCTACCAGACTGTTTAGCATGCAACACTTATCCAAGCGGATTCAGATTCTAATCATGACTGCAGTCACAAGAGTAAGAGTAAGTAGGTTTTCGCACTCATTTGTGGTGCTGGATTCAATTGAATATCTAAGTCACTAACTAACATAACTCCGACAGTCCTTCACCTGATGGCAACAGGTTGTAAATGGGACAAGAATATGAAGATCTCCTAAAAGGACTGATATAATTGAACTCCTCCCTGGTGTGGTCTTATGTGGCAAAATTGTGTAACATAAAACTTAGTAGCCATTGTCAACTATACATGTCACACAAATGTGAGTGCAGAAAGAAGGCATATTCTCAAAAGCATCCTTTTGCAACCAAAAGAAATGAAAACCAGAGGAATGTTACAATTTTTTCTTAAAAGTCAAATGCTTTAAAATACAAAAGTTGCAATGCGATCAAGAAATATTACCTTGAGAATCCAGTTGATAGCAACAGCCCCAGGAGCAGCTGTGTTTCTAGAGACTCCAACTGAATTCAAAAGGGTTTGTGTTGTAAAAACACCCATTGCGCCACCAAAGAAGTGCTACAAAAAAAATAAATAAATAATGGTTATTTTTAATATGGCAATCAATTCTACCAAGGTGATTGAACCATGCTTTTAAAGAAGTTGGAGCAGCTTTTACGGCAGGGATGATAAACAGATGATAGAAAATAAGTTTGTATAAAAGTATATGTACCTTGAGAGCTCTCCATGTCATGTAGGGGACATAGGAAGGGATTACACTATCAGGGAAACCTTCGGGGACAACATATGACCTTACGAAAGACATCAACCCCTGCACCAAAAAATCCAACGCACGAAACTCAGAAGAATCTTCAGCAATTGGAGAGAAAGTAATCAAATTTTGCAACGGCTATGAATGATGCATAAATTGCACACAATGTCAACGCTTATTACGCAACTCAGCAGAGAGGTTACACTTGTTGGATTCTTAAGTTGAGAAATTGTATTGAAACAAAGCTAGAAAAACAGAATAATACGTGGTTAAAGTAGAGTACGGACGTCGAGAGGGGGTTGGGGGCTGTGCAAGCTAAGGGCGCGAAAAGAGCCCTTCTTGAAGGTGGTTGCAGCAGAGGAGGAGGAGGAGGAATCGGGCTCGGCAACGTAGTTCCATCGGCGGCCGTCAATCTCCTCGCAGCAAATCAATCTGAAGCTGGATCCCACGAAGTCTTGATCGTGGTGGAGCAGCTGGGGAAGCTGATGCTTGGGGGCTTGGGTGTCCAAAGGCAGAGCCTGGGAGGGAGCGGAAGAAGCGAGGTTTGCACTGATACGCAGCGTTTCACGGACGAGAAGGCGCGCGTCCTGGGCGCTAGTGGCGGTGGTGGTGAGGGTTTGATTGGTGGAAGAAGCAGAAGATTGCTTGAGTTTCAACGGCGGCGGAGGCATTTCGCATTCCTCTTGTTTCTCCAAGTTATTACTCTGGTGGTAATTGGTGCTAATCAAAGTAGAATTGGGAATCCGGGATGGATGGATGGATGGATGGATGGGTGGAGATGTGGGGGGCCCGGAGGGTTATATAATTTTGGCTTTGGGGTGTCGCTTTGGAATTAACGACTCAGAAAATTCAAATCTTTCAAATCCCAATTGGCAATTGAGAAGTAACAAGAAGGGATGGATGAAATGAATGCGAGGAACAAGAGGCAGGTGGCCTAACAACAACACCACCACTCGGACTCAGCAACAGCAGCAACACCAACATCAACATCGACCACAACTGGATTTTGAAATGCCATTTATTACACCGCAATGCACCGCAATGGAGCAACTGATGAAACTTCCGAATCCTCCCCCACCCCTAAACCATGTACAAGTTGTAACCTAGGCGAGCGAGGCACCTGTGGAGAGTGGAGAATCTCATACATATCGTTCGTTCATTCTACGCGCATCGCCACCGTTGTTATATCCGATATCCGAGATGGCTTTTGCGTGGGACCTTCCACTCTGTGTCATGTGTTCTCATCTGACAAAACTAAACTATGCGGGACCCACCCAAATCTCACTTTATTTGCTACACTGCATTTACACGGTTATATATTTTCACGCCACCTTTAAAGTAGTAATAAATTAAATTTGAGATTTGAGTATAGGGTTTAGTTTAAATTTTAAAAGAAATGTCAATTTTTAAATATAAATTTTAAATTGGATAATCTATACAACATTTTGACATCTTTTTAAGTTTTGCACTTCATCGGATGTATCAAATTAAAATATTATTTTATTATATTATTTCTTTTCATAATTTCTGTTTTATAATTACAAATTTGATTACATTATTTTCTTTTTGTTATTTTATTCCAATATTTTATTTTCATAATTTCCTAGATAGCATGTACACCAGAATAGGCATCTGAATTGATACCCAAGATATAAAAAACTGAGGCTTCTGAGCTGCAAAGTAATTTAAATCAGCGATAAGTTTCATACCTAGATAACTTCAAGCCGTCTGTTTTTCTTCTTTTCTTTTAAATTGGATTCTAAACAAATTGAATCGATACAATTTCGCATAGCCTCTTCCCTTTGATTCAAATGCATTGCAAGATTCAATGGTCAAATATTCAGTACTCAAATACACACCAAATCCTAAAACCCATTTGCAAAAAAGCTCCATAGGCCTATCAAGAAGAGAATGAGGAATTACTGGCTGGAGAGAACGACAAGCTTCAAAGATTTGTGGCGAAGTAGGGTTTTCTCTAAACCAAGAAGCTGGGTTTTGCAATTTGCAGACTGATATTTTCAGGGTTGGTGAGGGTGTGGGAGGAAGATAAATGTTTTCAAACAATAATAAAATTAATAAAAAACATTTAATAATTAATCAATAAAAATTTGAAGCTGCTGTCTATTTTGACAGTAAGGGTGAGAGCTGTCATTCCATGTCATGCCACATCAGATTTGGCTTTTCGGTTGGAAAACAATATTGCTGCTTTTTTTTACTGTTAATGATGATTTGGATATTTTGACTTTTCATTTGAAGATGTTCTTAGTCCTTTTTTATAGCTGTGCGTGTGCGTCTGTGTAAATGATAAATTTGTGTAACTTGCGGAGAAAGTGCGGCGTGGATGGATATGAGTGTTTACGAGAAGTGTTACATCTTCGATCAAGAGCTACAGCGAGCGGGGGCTTGTAGGTGTGAAAATCAAGAGCCATGAGTTTATATACTTTTTTTTTTTTTTTTTGGAAAAATTATAGTACATATGTACTGTTATGTAAGCCAAAAAAAAAAAAAAAAAAACTTAATAATTATTAATTTATCAATAAATTGGTATCTCGCTAAATTAATAGAATTTGGGTAGTCCAAAAGCTTTTTTTTTTTTTTTTTTTTTAAACAAACAATATTATTTACACTAAAGGGAGAAGGGTGGGCTTAGTATGGCTAGCAATAATGTGATTCAAATTCGCCTCTAGTGAAAATCGAACCTAAGATCTATCACTTACAAGTGAAAAGGAATATTACTAGACTATAGTACCAAATGGTAGTCCGAAAGCTATTAAATTAAAGAAGTCATACTGTATGCATCTTGTATTTCTGACTGTCCACATTCAATACATAGACGTATCACTAATTTTATCCCCTTTTTCTATTTTTTTTTTTCCTAGAAAACTAGGTCAATCTATAAGCGATTAAACATCACTTAATACTATAGTATGGTGATATTCTTCTTTATTTGTAGGCGAGAGATTTTATATTCAAATTTCATAGATGACGACTTTATAATCAATTTATTCCCCTTACCGTTATTCTAAAATATATTGTTGTATCAAAAATAAACAATGGAAAAAAGAAGTTAAATGTATGGGCCTAGCCCAAATGAAAGTATTTGGACCTAACCAAGGCGAGTCCATTGATTGAGTCTCCTTATAAAGGGCACCGATCTAATGACTCTTGTTTAGATGTGTAACTTACATACAAACTTTTGATTTCCAGTAGAAAAAATCTATTTCGTCGAAAGGAGAAGTAACAATATTCTTTATTCATCCTTACAAATGGGGCTTTATTTTTTGTCAAACGATAGCACTAGTGGGTTAAATTATTAATTATTTGCACTTATGATTGGTTCCATCCATCCCCAACCCTAATGAATCGAGTATGAAGGGGTCAGTCAGTCAAGTGTTTCGGGTTCTCGATCGGTTCCTATTCGCCTTCCCCCTCCCCCCGTTGCCCTGTAGTCCATTAGCAGGTGGGGTGGTGAACTTTGAGGGTGCTCACCTCCTCTTCAGACGTGTCCTCGACAACTTGGCGACTATTCGATCTTTGCTTTTGGGGGAGGGGGTGATTGGTTGCTGGGCAGGAAGATTAGTGGTGATCGAACCCACACTAAAATGTATACACATAATTGCTTTCTGCCACTGCTAAAGCATCATCCGCTTATAAATGAGGCTCTTTAACAACCCGGCGATTGTCAGTGGGCCTAAGTGACCCATTGACCCAACAATAGATATTGGGCCATTAATATTGTTTGAGGGTCCCAACACCTTTTGTTTTCGTATGTTTTGTTGCATCGATTGTCTTCTGTCGGTCTGGTTTCGGTTTTTGGAGCATCCCCTTTCCCTTATACTTCTTCTTATTCCTGCCTCTGTTTTCAGGTTCCCTTTCTCTTCCGATTCCTGCTTCTGTAAAAAAATCTCTCAGAACCAACCAACAGGTATTATCTCTGAAAATTTGAAAACTTAAATAATAAAGAATGGAAGGAGAAGGAGGAGAAGAGCTCAGCATACAGGAGCTGACTTCCAGTCTCTCGACGTACAAAGATCAGCTTCACCAGGTCCCCCACTCCACTCTTTTGTTCTTCTTCTTATTTGTTTCATCTGTTTTTATTCTTATTACGATGGTTAATTTTCATCGTTGCAGTCGATATATGCTGTGACTGTGATTAGGGTTTATTTGAATTACTATTCAATTAGGGTTTTTCTTACCATTATACCAATTATGATACAATTAACCTGTTTAGGTTTGTGCACTCCCGTCTCTATTGAAAGCAAAACACTTTCCTCCGGAATTTTGATTGATCTTGTCTTGGTAGCAAACCAAACTAGAGAAAGGGAGAAATTTTGAAATTCTGGTATTTAATGCGTGCAGTTAGTGATTTCACTTTAGGAATTGAGTCTACATAATCTACTATCTGTTTGCATCCGTGGTTATTTAATACCATAGAAATTGAAATCATTGTACTATTCTATATGTAATGTATGTGTATTCAGACTTTTTCTCTATTTGTAAGCCATGTCCAAATGTATACTGTGAATGAATTTCAGCTTGTTTTGTTGTTTTTAAATTGTGGGGAAACATTTATTATTCGTACATCAAGGTTGAAGTTTCTTCCTTTGCCATTGAACCTCGTGTATAATGTTTATGTACACCAAGTTTCTCTCTTTGTATTCTCTTGTAGATATGTTCTTTTTGTAACAATTTCTGCGATCCTCTGGATCAGGTAAAGGAGCTTTTAGCTGATGATCCTGCAAACTCTGAGTATGCTGACATGGCAAGAGAGCTCAATGAGGTATCTGTTTTGTCTGTTTCTTTTTGTATAGATATTCATGTACATTTGATCAAATCATTCGCGATTTCGATTCATTCCTACTGGAACTCTCCTTTTTTTTTTTTTTTTTTTTTTTTTTTTTTTTTTTTTGTAGTGTTTAGGTCTCTATCTTAATGTTACCGTGTGAAAACTGAGGCAACGTCTTCTCTGGCCCTTGGGATGACAGCCAATTGTAGTTACTATTAGAGGGATATCTAGGTTTTCAATGCATTATCATTCTTCTTTTATTTCTTCCTTCTCTCTTTTGAAGGAATCATGATGTTGCTCAAACTAGCAACGCCAATTAACTGCTATGGCACCTGTGGAGGTTTATTTTCATTACAGGGTTGAATAAGGTGAGGATGGTTTGTGTGTTGAATAAAGTTCATACACTCCAGAAATCGGAACTCTGGAGAATTTAGAATTTAGAAAAACATTAGATCCTTAGAGCTTCATCAAGTAGCATGTTACTTCTATCTTGGTTCCTTTGCAGGTGTGCTATGTATGGTGATGGTCAGCTTTCACTCTCTTTCACCTGATATCCGATGTTCACGCTGAGATTCTAAGTTTGAAATTTGACAATAATTTTCTCTTTACAATGTAGCGTCTATTTGTATGTATGTTGTTTAAATTTATGTTTGGGCTTAATTTATGATAATGCAGGTAATTGCTCTGACAGAAGAACTACTTGCAACTGCAAAGCAAAATCAGAATTCCGGATTAGGTTTCGGGACAAGTGATAGTGCATCACCTAGTTTGCCTCAGACTCAGAGGAATGAAAATGTAAGTTGACATCCTCATGAATTTCTTTACTTTCTTTTTCTGTTTGTGTTTCTTTGTTGTTCTTGTGAGCGAATATATGCTTTGACAAGGTTACTCCTACAATGTATTCTGTGGTATGTGGCTATGGAGAAATATGCTTTTCTTTTGGCTTAGGAATGATTTACATGAACAGTGTTGTTTCTCAAAAGGTGCAGCACTGGGGTTCTGTATAAAAACTTCCTGCTGTTTGCTCAGTATAAATTTCAACTTCAGAATAACTTCAAACCATACTTGGTATACTAATGTGGAATTTTGTTCCCACATTCATTGACCTTTAGTAATGCGTGTTATGAAGCTGCTACCACTGTAATGCTTTTTGTGGGGTTTATCTATAGTGCATTTTTGTGCTCTTTTCCTTTATATTAAACCCATTTCAAATGAACTTTTCTGTTGACCCAAACAAAGCTGATATTACTGTTATGACTGTTTTCTTATGTTGGATTTTTCCCGTTTGGATCTTTCTTGTGTCCTGTTGTGGTTACATTGTAATCATTCCTCATGTAGGATTCAGGGAATATTTCCATTTATCATGACAAGTTTCCTGTTGGCACAAAAGTTCAAGCTGTTTGGAGTGAAGATGGGGAGTGGTATGTGAAATAGAGATGAGTTTCAGTAGATTTGTGTTTCAATTTTCTACATTTGCTTTACCTTTCTTTTCTTTTTGTCTGTGGTTGATTAGTTGAATGTCCAGGTATGATGCCACGATCGAGTCTCTTACTCCGAATGGGTACTTTGTTACTTATGAGAGCTGGGGAAATAAAGAAGAGGTATGATTTCTCAGACACATTTGAATTGATATGCTTTTACTTCAGTAAGACATTCTTCTTTGAATTGTTAGGTGGTTGTCTCTAAAATCTTGTTTATGATATTTATTTTCTTTTATTAAAACATATTTTATTCCAGTAGCATGAAGTTTTATCTGGTCATAGAATTGACATTTTGAATAACAATGAGTGATGCTTTACTTGCTTCTTGAAAGTTATGTCGCCTATTATTCAATTTTGAAATGAACATATTTTTCCAAATTTGGCGATGAAGTTAACTTAATATTTGAGGTTGTGGATCCCTTTTTTTTTCCCCGTAACTGGTTCCATTTGTTATTGCATGTCCTTACCTTTATTTTGGCTCATAAATCATTCTTGTTTTAAAATGTAATTGTGGTCTGCCATTGTTACTTTTTTTACTTCAGGTGGATCCAGACAATGTCAGACCAATTCAAGAAGGGGCTGTCAATGCATTGCTGGAAGCTGAAAGGGTTGCTGAGGCCACAAAACAAGCGCTTAAAAGGAAGATTGCGCAAGCTGCTTCTGTTGATTTCCAATCACGAAGCTTACCAGCAAAACTTCGTATAGAACCTGATGATCCAGAGGATGTGGTACTTTATCTATCTATATCTATTTTGTTGGTATCTTACCGTACAAAAGTGTGGATGTGGTAAAATATTCATAGGACAAAAATGTTAAATCTTAAATGACTCAATTTTATTACTGTTGGCCTTCCACAGTGTGCCAGAATTTTTGAGTTTGATTCCAGTTTATAGGAATCAAACTCCTGCTGGAAAACTTGAGTCCTATAGGAGGAGTCATTACAACTATTGAGTTCAATATTATGGATCCCACAATTAATAGATAGAAATCACATTTATTAAATCCACAGCACTGTAGGGATGGTGTTACAGGAATCAAACTCAAGGTATCTGGTTTCTATATTCAGGAATCTAACTCACCTGAATCACTGTAGAAGGGTGTACCCTACTGAAGTTTTGTAGTTTTCATATGGTTTAAAGTAGGTAAAAACACTATAGCAGGAACCAACCACAGAAGATAAAAATGATATTTTGTACAATGTTATAATTAAATTGTGCTTACGCTAATCTACACAAAAGCTGTTAATTATGAAAATTGAAGTTTCTGTTAAGAAGTTTTTTTTTTTGAAACACGCAACCAGTCATTTTAGTAGAATAATAAGATATCAAATTTTGTTATTGACTCGACATGATATAAATTTGATTCACTTTGTTAATTTAGAAATTTGGTAGTTTTTCAGCGCATTAAGTGATTTAAATCTTTTTTTTTCGTTGGTCTCAAGGATAAGAGATCCGACTTGTAGTACTAGTTTGGTAGCAATCAAAATTATTTTTTGGTCATCTATTATTTTCTTGAACCCTAGAAGTTGTGGTATAATGTTTTAAAATGTGTTGTTACAACTTGTTTTTTGGGGACTAATTCTTGCCAACTTCAAAATCTACAGAAAATCACCAAACGTAAAAAGATACATGCTTTTAAGTCAAAGATGAGGATGGAACAACTGGAAGTTACACAGAATAAACGTCAAAATGCTTGGCAACAGTTCCAAACAACCAAGGGCAAGACTAAGAAGGTATGTTAGCTTGACATTTTGAATTTCAATGTGTTTGCACTATTTCTTTGGTTGGTGTTTGTCAAGGAACAAGAATATCGGTTGCTTTAATTTGTCTGCGCACCTCTGGAGTGTTTCCAAAATTTTACATTCGTAGTATTTTCTTCCTTGTCTTAATCAAAATAGTGTTTTCCAAGACGGTGAGTTGCCTTAAGTGTACCTCATCACAAAAGGTGGACGCATTACAGATTAGACAAACTATTGCCACTGTCTTATTTTAAACTTTTCTTCTTTTTACGAAATGCTTCATTACTTATCCAGAGGTGTAACTCGTTACATTGTCAGATTGGTTTCTTTTCTGGACGCAAGCGTGAGAGCATCTTCAAGTCTCCTGAGGATCCTTTTGGGAAGGTTGGGGTGACTGGAAGTGGGAAAGGCTTGACAGAGTTTCAGAGGAGGGAAAAACACTTGCATCTCAAAGGGGGAACAGGTGAGAATGATGAAGAGGCTCCTTAGCTCCCTACTGTCTCCCTGCACTTGCTTAGCGACGAAAAAGAAAAAAGAAACTACCCTGATCTCTCAACTTGGTCAAAAGGTTTAGTCGTAATTTGTTAGCTCAAAACCTGTGGTATGCCATTGCCATATGTATTGTTCTTACCCTCGTGGTTATTATTGCCATAACAGTTGTCTTGCCACCCCTTGAGTTTGAGTTGTATTGTGTTAGGCGTTTATGTCGTGAAATGAAGCAATGGTTTGATTCCCACCTCATGGCTTTTGTAGGTTTCTGCTCCCCCCAATCTTGTTTTGCTCCTTACAAAAAACTCGCGACTTGAACAGATTTTACATTCACTTTCCGTGCGCTCTGAGTAGACTTAATAAGATACTTGAAACTCTATTTGAGAAGGCTACTTCCATGTCAAACCACCGTTGTCTAAGAACAAGCCACTCAACAACGTCACCCCAGGATGTATGACCAGCATTCTCATCATCCTTTCTCCTTAAGCTTTCTTTGTATTGCCTCATACTTCTCCTTCCACCTTGTGTCGGTAACATGAACAAAGTTGCTAATGAATCAATGTAGTTAGTGGTGGGTGTAGGTAAAGCCCATCTGCGTACGGAGTTGCCTTCCATCCGGACATATGTTGAAATGAATAGCTGCCTTTTGGTTTTGGGGATGGGAATGGACCTCCTTAGACAGACTTTCTAATCTTTTGGCGAACGTATTTATGTTTGACACCGACATCAAAACATGTTTGAGACATGTCTGTTTAATTGTACAAAACTATTATTATTATTAATATATAGATTGGATGGTTGACTAGCAACATAAAATTGGGAACAAACTTCACTGCTTGTAGAAAAGTATTACATCTCTGTCTCTCACCATTCTAACTTTGTCCTTTTTGAACATTTTTTTTATAGGATAATGAGTTGATTCTCATCTTGTGAATCCCGTATTTTGATCGTACAAGTATTATAATCGGAACTATTCAATTTCTTTATCTTTCATTTCAAAATGATCCTTGCAAGAAATCATTTCAATTAGAGATCATTTAGTCATTCAAATGTACAGAACAAATTGACGGTGTGGTGTGGATACCAAGTAACATTTTCATAATGAACCGTCCATTCAGTTAATGCATTTAGATAATTAAACAATCTTGAATTTGAATGATTTTTGTAGAATGCGTTTAGATAATTAAACAATCTTGAATTTGGATAATTTTTTGTAGAAGTAATCTTCAAATGAAGATTAATAAATTTAACGATTCCGATCGTTAGTCAAGATACGGTAATCACAAATGAAAAATATGTGCATCCACACATAGAAGATGCAATAAGGTTTTATATATTATTGATCATCATGTTCCATATGCATGCATCACCCCAAGGCTCATGGTAGTTAGATTTCCTCTACAGTCTACAGGAGGAGAGGTGGAGCAAATCATCACTCCACTAGGCAAATAGCAATAGGTAGGCGAGCACCCGTATTTGCCTTTCTGACATTCAGAGAATCAAAGGTTAAGGGATATCCTCCTTTCCCTTTGTTAATTACACAAATTCCTCGCAAAGAAAAAAAGTCAACATCTTTCGTTTTAATTTAGAATGAGTATCCTTGTCGGATCATCTTTGTAAGGATCCAAAAGATCCTTTAATCGTGTTTGTTTATCGTATATCATACGGTCAAAAATTATTTTAAATTATTTATTTAAAATTAAACATAAATAGTATCTGATAAAAATTGATCACACGGTTTACGATAAACAGATATGATTAAAGAATCTCCTGAATCCTCCCAGAGAGGATCAGGAGAGGATCCTCATTCATTAATTTGGCACCGACTCAACGCATGGTTCTCCATCTTAATTAAATATAAATATCATGTTTGGTTTCTTTCCAAAGAAAAAGTTCAAAGTGCTTTCCAAGGTATTCAATAACAATATGTTTGCCTACATATGCATTCTTTGTGAATCTGCTTTGTCCACCGACGCCGATTTATTTTGCTCTTAAAAATCACTTCATGTGGTACCCAAATTACATTAAGAGGAAATTAATTTGTTATTAACATGTGGCGGACTACTTTCTATAATAAATAATAAAAAAATTGTCTAAGATACACTTTAATAAAAAAAAGGTATCGATGCATGTGGTCTAATATCCTAGTGGATAGGGTATTAGTTTCTATTCATGCATCCCACATTCGAAACTTTCCCTTCTCCTAAATGAATGTAATAGTTTCGAACTTTCCCTCTTCCTTTAATATTAGAATTTACAAAAAAAAAAAAAAAAAAAAAAAAGAAAAAAGAAAAAAAAAAGGTTTCGATACCACTTAATTTGAACATTGGTAGTGTAATACAACCCCGTACAATAGGAGAAGGACACATAGACAATATGTTTGATATGGCAGTTTTACTTTTAACATCGCGAGCAGACTAGTCTGCTCTAAAGGTAAATAGGCTTTTATGTCACTAACAGACAATGTTTCTTTTGACCACTCATAATATGTCTTGCCATCAGGCCATATATACAATGCCCAATGGTGGCTGGGCACCAACTCTATGTAGTTTCCTCTGGGTCTCCAGAGCGTTTGTGCTCTTACCAACATGGATCTTCAAAACTACTAGCTGGCAAGACTTCGAAGACTGGCTTGCATCATCAAAGAGCTAGTATGCTTTGCAGCCTCCCCTTCCAAACGCCCGCTAGGGTTTTTTCCTATAAATAGTCAGGTCAAACAGAAGAAACCGTAATCGTCACTTACTACTCAGAACTCTATCAAGTTCTCTTTTCTTTCTACTACTTTTTTGACTTAGGCATCAGAGGCCCTTTGGCGAAAACTCTCTCCTTTTTTCAAATGTTCGTCAATTAGGCTAAGGGTCTGTGTTCTCTTGTAGGTGGAATTTCATTAAATCAACCATGTACGAAATTTGCATCAACATTACTAATTTCCTTTTATTTATTTATTAAAGGATGCCTATAGAATTTCCCAAAAATAGATAAGTGCAAATTAAACACGGCCTCACCTTAGAGCATCTGCAATGGGAAATGCAAAATACCTTGGAATAAGCATTTTCATTTTTTCAGTTGGCCATAAATGGATGGAGTCTAAAATATTCATATTCGTTGGAAAATATAAATTTACAATATAAAACATAATCTAGATTACATCTCTCAAATGAACGTGACCTATCAATCAAAGAGAGAAAAATGTGATCCAAATTACATCTCTCACACTAGAGTAGATTTAACTTTTACATATTATGAAAATATAAAACGTAATCTAAACATAATTTTTACATCTCAAGTTTTGCATCTCTCCATTATATATGCTCATATTGATATATAGTAATTTGGCTTCTCTTATACGGCATGCGACTGATTTCTATACATAATACGAACATATATATGTGTATATGCGATAGATCGATCAGAGCCCTATATATTAATCACCTTCATTAATTCAGAGCTATTTTCTTAGAAAAGACTACCCTAAATATTCTTAAATAAGTTATGGTATATTATCATCCAGTCTATGATGTTTATAATCCTCCATGCAAGTAGTATCATGAGCATGCAGCTGGGGTAGCGCACTTGGTGCTGATGAAGAGGACGGGGTGTGAGAGTACCAATGAGACCAAAATAGATAGTTGAGGAAGTTGAGGAAGCTGAGGCCTGCCAGCAACCAATAGAAAAGGTCCAGTCTGTCTTTGTTGAGATTATTGTCACCCAGCCAACCACCACCACGTGATGAGGTTGTGATCTTATTCACCAGAGAGACAAGTAGAGAGCTCAGGTAAAACCCGAACGAATATGAGCAATAGGTCAAGGCAGTTAAAAATGCTTGCATCCCCTTCAAGGATTGCTTGTAAAAGAACTCAACGAGGCCTACGGCAGTGAACATTTCTGATAATCCAAAGATCAAGAATTGTGGGGTGATCCAAAAAATGGAAATTATTTTGTTCGAATGCACAGCTGCATCCCTTCTCTTTTCCTCCATGATGGCAGCCGCGATCATCGAAAAAGTTGCAAAAAAGAGTCCAAACCCTATTCTCATTAATGGAGAGATGCCAGAATCGTGACCGGTGAATTTTCGAGCAAAGGGTACAAAGAAAGTGTCGTAGAGAGGGACGAGGACGATGAGAATGATGTAAGGGATGGATTGGAGTGAAGCTGGAGGGATATGGAAGGATTTGGTAAGCTTGGTGTCCATCATACTTCCTTGTTGGACTGAGAAAGTTTGGAGCTGAGCCAAAATTGTGTTGAAAATTATGGTGGAAGCAAAAATTGGAATAACTGAAAGTAGTATTTTGACTTGCTTCACTTGAGTAACGGTGCACAATCTCCACGGGCTTTCCTTTGAATTAGTGCCATCTTGAATTTTAATGCAAGCCTTGTCCAAGAACCTGATCATCATTAATTAATTTGGCAGATTAATTAAGCATAAATGATTGCAAGAGAAAAGACAACATATATATTTACAAGCATCGCTCAAGTAAGTACTAGTTGCTTTTCTTAATACTTCATACGTGGATAAACATATTTTGGTCTTACTATTTTTGTTTATCTTAATAGAGGACATGCACGATGCATGGGAAACAAGATGTAGTTATTCTAGCTATAAAATACTGAAATAAAGATTTATTTTTTTCCCTTTTGCTTTGTAAATTTACCTGAACTTTTCAGTGTGAAGAAAGCTGGCAGCGTCAGAAAAGAAAGTAGTATTGTCATGAAGCACATTGTTTTGGTTTCCATGGAGCAACTGTGGATTAGATGGACAAGCCTGCTTTCTCTTTAGCATTGCAGCCACAAAAACCTAAAAAGGAAAATGATAGTTATTTACATGCATTGTGCAGACTCCCATGTATAGTATTCGAATTCGACAACCCACACGCATGTTAATCTTTTTAAACATCATAAGCCAACAAAATTGCATACCGACGCATACACATCAAACAATATATTTATAACCGATTGTATGAACTACTATTCCTGATTGGCCCATAAGATATATATTAGATTCGATATAAAATTCCTAATTAATTAAGAGGATAAAATTGGAAAAAGTTCAAATTATACTTGAGCAATGGGAGTGAGTATGCTTCCTTGAGGTCGCTTGTTCCTGTAATATAGGGTACCGGAAACCAAGCTGATTAATCCCATGGCCATGGCGGCTGCTGAGACTCCAAAGCCAACATCCATTCCAGAGTGAGTTTGGACCCACACAAGAAGAGTAAGGGCGACGAGTTCACCCATGGAAAAGGCCAAGTAGGCAGCGTTGAAGTAGGTGGAGAGCTTCTTGGACTGCTTCGGGTCATCTGGGTTGAACTGGTCAGCCCCGTGAGCGATCATGTTTGGCTTCACACAGCCACTCCCCAATGCCACCAAGTAAAGTGCCACAAAGAAGATTAATGACTTGAACCCTTTTGCCTCTACACACTCCTCTCCGTTATTAACGTTGCATGGCGGTGGCTTTAGCTGCGGAACATGAGCTTGGACTGATAGTAATATGAAACCCTGCATGCATGCATGCGCGCAAATTCAGAATGCGTACGTATACCCTCATGTACAAAAATTAATAAATCAATTGTTCACATGAATTAATTAATTGAGTAGAAACATTACTCAATCAATCAACTGTTAAGAAAATAATTATTCATTTATTTGAATGAATGATTTTATTTTGGAAGTTTTAACGAAAAGTCCGCGCTACTATTTACTTTACCCTTTATTTTATCCTTATCGTTAAAACTCAAAGTTTTCAAGTCATTTTCATTAGTTTTCCTTTTTATTTTTAACTGAGTTATTTTGTCACTCTATATTGACTCATTCTCATAACATAAACAAGTTCAGCAAATCGAATTTGTTGTAGTTAGAGAGAGAGAGAGAGAGAGAGAGAGGGTAAAACAAAAAAGGTGAGATCATGATGAACGAAGGCTGAGCTTAAGCTAGGGGTAAGGTAGGTAGCTCTCACCGAAAGTTCCACAAAACCAAAGATAAGCATGGTCCAGAAACTCCCAAGATAGGAATCGGAGAGGTAGCCGCCAACAAGGGCTAAGAGAAAGACAGTTCCAATAAAGTTTGTCACTACGTTGGCCGAATTCGACAAAGGAAAATGCATCTCATTTATCACGTATGTTATGAGGTTGTTCCCAACTGCAGCAATTCCCATTATCTCAAATGATTGAAGCCCTGTGCAAGAAAACAGAAATGTCATACAACTTAATTACAAAAGTAGAAAACAAAATAAGTACAATCTATGGTGAGAGAGCTTTGCTTAAATTAATTTAATTAATGGAGTTTTACCTAAGTAATTAAGTTCGACTTTCATGAATAGCGATTCTCATGAATAGTGATTCGAACTAGTTTATTATGCTTGACCTAATTCATTATGCGGCTTAGCTCAATTCCCTTATCCTAATATCAACCATTTCTACTTTTTACACACCCCTCTCAATTTTCGATTGTCAGATCAAATGAATTGAAGAAAATCAATGGACAACAATTAACAAGTGTTTGTAAGAGGTAAAAATAAGTGTTTAATAACACTTTTCTAAATATATCGTTGTATTAAAATAAAGAGTCATGATAATTAAGGTGCGGCCTTCTTTTTTATTTGAAAAAAGGTGTGGTTCATAAGCTAAATCAAGAAACCGTTTCGGTTGCGTATGTACATTAGAATAGCAGTACATGCTTTCAGTGTGAGTCTGAATAATTAATTATCACAAAAGTTATATACAGGAGAAAATGAATTTTATAAAAAACCAAATTAGAGAAGTAATTAGAAGAAGATACAGGATGTGGCTATACCAAGAACAAATGCAGCAGCTCTCATGCCACCATGCTCGGTAGGATTGGAAGGTCTGCCCCTCCAATCAACAGTCATCTCTTCAGCCATGTCAGATGTGTTAATGGCCTCAACTTTGTGATTCTGCCTCCTTTGTTCCATTTCCATGTATGCCCCTGCTGCTATATATATATATGTGTTTCTGTGTGTCTCTCTCTGACCAAACTAGGAGGAAGAGGGAAAGGGAGAGGCAGAGGGAGAGGGACTGGTGAAGGAGGACTGTGTAAGGTTGCCTCTTGTTGCTCTTAAGCTAATAATTCTGAATTGGAGGCAAGTGGGTTGTTCTAAATTTATAAGCCAAAGCCAAGCTCCTTGTGACGTTGGATTGTAAGCAAAACCAAAGTCTTAAATCCACACTCACTATAACCACGTGGATGACACTTCATCCAGGAAAAAAGGCTCCGTGCAGAGTCACAACTTCCAACCTAGCTAGCTATTTCAAGCACTAATGATCTTATTAAGAGTACATCTCCAATGTTCTTCTCTAATTGTACTCTTAAGTTAAAATTTAGGGAACTTTAACGCAAAACTCTCGGTACTATTCACTTTAACGAAAAACCACATTTTTACAATAAAAAATCAATCGTGATACTATTCAATTTACCCTTTATTTTATTCTTATCGTTAAAACTCAAAGTTTTCAAACTCTTTTCCTTAGTTTTCCTTAAAATTTAAGCACTAATAATCTCACTAAGAGTCTCCAATGTGCTTTTCTAGTTGAGCTCTTAAGTTAAAAGACTTAATGGAGCTACAATTTGGACCTTGGGTTGTATTCTTTTCAGTTTCCTCCTCAATGGCTTATGCAACATCTAACGGATGATCTTGTAGGCACCCTATGAGCCGCTTTATTGTTCTTAATGCTATGTATTAGTTCGTCTGGGGTGTCTTCACCTCCTTTATTCACCGAAAAACAAGAAAAAAAAGACTTAATTCAAGCAAAGCACCCCTAAACTTAATTATATCCAAGTTTAGTTATGGTTGAGCTCTGAAGTTAAAATACTTAGTTGAGCTCTTAAGAGTCCTCCAACTCAACCTAGTCTCACATGGTTGGTCCTTTAGTTAACTTCCTTAGTTTTTCTGTCACGTATATATAGGGACAAAAGAGTAATTTGACCTCACAAAATTAAACAGAATGAATAAACTTGGCTCCTTAATTAATGGATGAGGATGAGTTTTTCCTCAATTGACCACACAGCGGGTTCATGAAACTTCATGCTTATAATTGAAACCATTCTTCTATTATAAATCACTATGTAAAATTCATATTTGTAAAAATCAAATAAATATGAGATCGTTTAGCATCGAATTGTATAAAAACACGGTCAGATTTGGTAAAAGAATTATGAGCTTTCTATCTATTTGCTACAATTAATTGACCAAATAACTTTAGTTTTAATTGATTTTTGTAAAGATTATCTTTATAGAGTGAATTACAATATGAAAGGTCTGATTATGCACACAATGTTTGCAAATTGGCCACTAAGAGCATTTCAAAAGGAGATGTCAAAAATAATATGTCAAAATTATATTTGATGGCTAATGTGGCAAATTGAATACAAGTGTTAAATCCTCTTCTTTCCAATGGATGTGTCAAATATGTATTTATTATTTTATCGGGCCCAAAGTTACATTAACTAATAAAAAATAATCAAAATTAATTTTAGTTTTTATTCTATTGGTTGTTAATGGGACCCATGAATTAAAAAAATTAAATTGGCATATTTGACATCTCCTTTAGACCATCTCCAACCCTGGGCTAAATGCTATATTTTAGGTTTTATTCCCCCCCCCCCCCAAAAAAAAATCCAACCCAACCCATGCTAAATGTGTGGGCTAAAAGCTAAACAAAAGCCAGATTTAGCCCAGGATTTATGTCACATCCGGGCCCGGGCCCCCACCACATCTCAGACTCAACTCCACTGTAGCACAATATTGTCACATCCCGGCCTGGGCCCTTACCACATCTCGGGCTCAACTCCACCGTAGCACGATATTGTCCGCTTTGGGCCCAACCATGCCCTCACATTTTTGTTTCTGGGAACTTACATGAGAACTTCCCAGTGGGTCACCCATCATGGAATTGCTTTCGTGCGAACTTGCTTAACTTCGGAGTTCCTACAAAATTCGAAGCCAGTGAGCTCCCAAAAGGCATCGTGCTAGGTACAGATGGGAATATAGATATAAGGCTTATAGGACCCCCTCCCTTAGGCGACGTGGGATGTTACAATCCACCCCCCTTAAGGGCCCGACGTTCTCGTCGGCACACTTGCGGCTAGGGATTGGCTCTGATACCAAATTGTCACATCCTGACCCGGACTCCACCACATCCCGGGCTCGACTCTGCCGTAGCACGATATTGTCCGCTTTGAGCCCTGACCATGCCCTCACGGTTTTGTTTCTAGGAACTCACCTGAGAACTTCCCAGTAAGTCACCCATCCTGGAATTGCTTTCGCGCGAACTTGCTTAACTTCAGAGTTTCGATGGAACCAAAGCTACTGATCTCCCAAAAGGTCTTATGCTAAAGGAGGTAACCATGTACATATAAGGCATAGAGGATCCTCACCCCTAGGTGATGTGGGATCTAACAATCCACCTCCCTTAGGGGTCCGACGTCCTCGTCGGCACACTTCCGGCCAGGAATTGGCTCTGATGTCAAATTGTCACATCTCGGCCCAGGCCCCTACCACATCTTGGACACGACTCCATCGTAGCACGATCTTGTCCGCTTTGGGCTCCGACCATGCCTTCACCGTTTTTTTTTTTTTTGGCAACTCACACGAGAACTTCCCAATGGGTCATTCATCATGGGATTGACCTCGTGCAAACTCGCTTAACTTCAGAGTTCCTACAGAATCCGAAGCCAGTGAGCTCCCAAAAGGCCTCATGCTAGGTAGAGATGAGAATATACATATAAGGCTTACAGGACTCACTCCCTTGGGCGATGTGGGATGTTACAATTTAGCCCAGGATTAGTGGGGCTAGCCCATCATATATGTGTATTTTATTTAGTTTTATATTTATAAATTCATTGAATCCAACGATTAAGATCTAATTTGATGAAATTCAACAGTAAAAAAAAAAAAAAAAAATTTAACGGTCCAAATTTAAATCTAACGGCTAAAGTAATTACAAAAAATCTTTTATGAGTTTCATATTTTTTTAATAGTGTTTAACGAGTTTCATGGTGTCGGTTTGTAATTTTTCAATATTTGTTAGAATCAAAATATTTTTAGGTTAAAATGTTTATAAAATTAAATTATGATAGTCTACATAATTTTTTTCTTTTAAGAAAGTTACTTTAAGAAAAAAAAATTAGCTTAAATTCATTCTTTAATAATCTGGGGCTAAAACTTTAGGCTAGAAGGGTTAAAGTAAAAAAGCTGTTTCTGGGCTATAATCTAAATTTTCTGGGCTAAAAATTTTAGGTTTTAGCCTAAGGGTTGGAGATGGTCTTAGAGATGATCTAAGAATTTAGGAGGAATTTCTTCTAAATCTTGAGGAGCCAAGCCTTTTTCTAAATAGAAAACTAAAAACTAGAAGGGAAAAAAAAAAAAAAAAAAAAAAAAGAGGGTGGTTGGGTTATAACTTATAAGGTGTGGGGTTGCTTGGGGTTGTAGTGTGTGAGGGATAAGGAGGGAGAGGTTTGGGATTGCATGGTATGGGGGAGTAGGAGGCCAGACGATGGTGGAGTTATGCATGAGACAAGGTTGTAGCAGGTGTGGTCTACACTCTACATTGTTCTTCTTACGGGCAGCTAGATAGGGTAAAAAGTTGTCGTTCAATGTTGAAAATTACTTGATGTTCGACTTTTTATCTCCATCGGTTAATCTATTGGTTCCTTCTCGATCGTAGAGTAATTGTTTTCCAATAAATATCTTGTTTCGGATGTGACAAAAAAAACTCCACAGTTGCACTCCAAACCCTAAGAATTTGTCCAATCATCAACCTTGTGAGTCAAAACTTAATAAGTCCACTCAAAACTCTGCTGAAAACCTATCGAACTTCGAACACTACTGAATCACTCCATATAAAAAGAACAACTACATGATAAACTAGATAGTAAACGGTTGGTCTTCTTGACACATGACATTAATGTGTGAGTTTGGCGGTAGGAAAGCGAGAACAGTAGGAAAATGATTCAACCTTTTTAGATATTTTAAATAATTATCTAAATGGTTTAAAACATGGACGTCTATTAGGTCACTAGAGTGTAAGATATGATATACACAAATAAACTGAAGGGCATGCTTGGATTTTCACTAATACATCATCTCTGGAGATTTGAATCTTCTAACAGACCAATTTTAGCCAAAAGTTAAATCCTAATTTCGCCTCCATAGATGATGTGATAGTAAAAATTTGCACATGCCTTTCAATTTATTTTTTGTTGCCGTCACTTTACACAGGTAACATTAGCACTTAGGATCAGTGATCGAATGAATATCTAATTTTCAAAATATTGAGTATTTATCTAAAATATTTACAAAGGTTGGGACCACTTTTAAATTGATCCTAAAGATTCTCTTTAGGTAGACTATTATATATGGTTTATTATATATATGTGGTGTAAGGTGTGGTTTGCTGTATTGACCCAACAAATAAAGGTGTGGTTTGATCTTCAAGTAGAAGGAAATATGATATGTGTTGAGTAAAAAGGGGGAGACAAAGTGGAGACACAACATATGAATATCCTAAGTGGATCCCAACACACATAATATATAATACCAATTGCTAATTGGTATATCCTGTTTTCCTACGACACTTTCGAGTCTCTATGCATATTTGAAAGGGTGGGCGGTTGATATTATTTGGTTGGTTTTCGTTTTTTACCGATTGATCACCAGGCACTATGGAAAGTGAAAATTAAAGCCTATTTTTACTCCCTTTAACTCAAATCAACGGCAATTCAATCACTTCAAATCTATTTTGGTAATTAGTGATGGTCAACTTTTGTAGGAATTGCGCTGCTTCAATTGTCGTTGTTTTATATATTCTTTGGAAACGAACAAGAAGCCCCAAGACTTTTGGTAAAAGTTCTACCTTATTTTCGAGATAAAGTTGGATTATATAAGATACGGTGGCCATTGCAACCGATTACCTTATTGCTCCAAACATGCACAAAATGAATTGTTGACCAAAAAAAAAAAAAAAAAAAAAACAAAAGGCAACTAATGGAATCATGGAACTCCAACTTTCTTTATGATATCGGAGTATGTTGTTTCATGTGAGAAACCCAACAATCACACGTGCTCCACGTCATCGATTTGTATTGCTAGGCTTTAAAAATTCGCCATATGTGAGGGGGCTTGTTGAGA